TACCTTTTGTGACTTGTAACTTGTAATGTAGTGCTTGATTAGATGGAATTTTGACATTTGGATGTTTAATTAATGATTTTGTAGAAAAATGATGGAATTTATAAGTTGAATAGACGTTTTGCTAGTCTTTAAGGATCGTTTGATATCTAAATAAGAAGATAATTTAATGGGATGTGAGGTTCGATTCTTGTTGTAACAAGACTCTAGGAAAATTTAAATGTTCGATTTTTTAATCGATTAAGAACTGAACTATGCACTATGGGCCAGAAATGGAAAATTTTTCCAAAAATTATTTCTACAGCTTATATGATAGTTCTTATTCTGCCCTACATTTACGTCCTTAAAACTTTGCCCAAGTCGACAGCATGTCCGAGATATGGCACTTCAAAGTTGGTCAGACGACCATTTTCACGTTACATTGAAAATGCTCTCACCAGATACTGGATGGATGAATCTCCTTCAAATTTTTTTTGTTAATAGCTTTAAATTGTTACTTTATTTTAAAATATAAACAATTGCAAATAACTTTGGAAAATTTTGTGAAAAACTTGATTTTTCTCAAAAACCACGTGTTCGTCATACTTTCGTTTGTGTAGGTCTTCACAAGCACAACCAAAGTTACTAATTTCTTTTTTATATTAAAGACTACATCAAAAGCTATAACTTTTGCATACATGTCGTATAATTTTAACAAAGTTTTTAGAGTGAAAAAAAATTTTTTTATAAAAAAAACACCAATTTTTTGACAAACATCGCTGTAGTGCTTCAGGGATACCCATGGTAGTGGAATTTTATTTCACATTTAAAAAGTTCTCTAGATATACTATCAATTATTGCAATAAAATGAACAAGTGTTCTGTTGGCAAAGAGCACTTTTTTGACTCTGAAAGTCGTATGTCGAGCAAGGTCAAAAAAGAAAAATAATCATAAAAATTTCAGTTTGAAATAAAATTTAATTTTTTTAAGTTAGATTGATAGATCTTTTCAAAACGCGTCTTTTGAGTATAAATATGTCATAGTTTTGTCAAGTTTCATGATCATTTTTTTAAAAAAATAGTTTTTTTCAAAAAAAAAAATGAAAAATAAAGTATTTGACTTTAGAATTTCATAAAATGCATTCTTTTTATCATTTTTTTCACTACTTTGTCTAGTTTTGCTCCTAGTTTTTTTCCTAAACATAAATCAATAAGAACTTAACATAATTGAAGCCATTTGGAGGTTAAATTGAGTTAAAAATCGTTTAAAATTTTTGTATTTCTCAAATAGTTCTTTACACAAGTATCTAAGATATAAAGTGTTGCATAGTTTTGAAAAGGTATTAAAATTTCCAATATGTTAACATGAAGAGTTTTGGAAAATTTTCAAGTAATATAGTCAATTTGGGTAAAAAACGCATTTTATATATGCTAGTTTTTAATGTTTTTCGTTTTTCTCAGCAAAGACTTTATGAAAAACTCTCAAAGTTTGCACACTTATTTGTTATATACATGTAAATGACTCGTATAAGTTTTGGAATTTTCCATTGAGTTTTCATGAGTTCTCCAAATCTGAAATTTTCAATATTAAAAATTCATTTTTCTCAATAATTGCGATTTTTTATTTATAAAAAAATATCTTATTTTGTTTCATTTTTCAATATCTTTTCATTGTTATATAACAATCTACGAAAAAATTAAGACTAAAGAGAAATCAATAAAAAAGTGTCAAAAATTTTGAAAATTCTACGCTATTTTAATTTTTTAAGCCTTTTCTGGTCAATTGCTAAGTTTTATAAGAGTGTTATACCTTTTTGGAATTATATAACTTAATACTTTCATCCACTAAAAATCTTATGAGTCTACGATAAGCACAACTGAAGTTAAATAAGCTTCACATTGGCGACAAAAGACAGTTCCATATGAAGAAAACCAGATATTAATTTTATTGCTATTTGAGCTATAATATTAAGCTTTTTCATCTAGTTTTGTTATAAATGTTTCATGTATTTAATAGCAGCCTGAAGATATAATTTAAAGCTTTTAAATAATTTGATTTTAAAAAATTCAAAATTTTTGGTTGTCGCCAACGTGAAGCTTATTTAACTTCAGTTGTGCTTATCGTAGACTCATAAGAATTTTAGTGGATGAAAGTATTAAGTTATATAATTCCAAAAAGGTATAACACTCTTATAAAACTTAGCAATTGACCAGAAAAGGCTTAAAAAATTAAAATAGCGTAGAATTTTCAAAATTTTTGACACTTTTTTATTGATTTCTCTTTAGTCTTAATTTTTTCGTAGATTGTTATATAACAATGAAAAGATATTGAAAAATGAAACAAAATAAGATATTTTTTTATAAATAAAAAATCGCAATTATTGAGAAAAATGAATTTTTAATATTGAAAATTTCAGATTTGGAGAACTCATGAAAACTCAATGGAAAATTCCAAAACTTATACGAGTCATTTACATGTATATAACAAATAAGTGTGCAAACTTTGAGAGTTTTTCATAAAGTCTTTGCTGAGAAAAACGAAAAACATTAAAAACTAGCATATATAAAATGCGTTTTTTACCCAAATTGACTATATTACTTGAAAATTTTCCAAAACTCTTCATGTTAACATATTGGAAATTTTAATACCTTTTCAAAACTATGCAACACTTTATATCTTAGATACTTGTGTAAAGAACTATTTGAGAAATACAAAAATTTTAAACGATTTTTAACTCAATTTAACCTCCAAATGGCTTCAATTATGTTAAGTTCTTATTGATTTATGTTTAGGAAAAAAACTAGGAGCAAAACTAGACAAAGTAGTGAAAAAAATGATAAAAAGAATGCATTTTATGAAATTCTAAAGTCAAATACTTTATTTTTCATTTTTTTTTTGAAAAAAACTATTTTTTAAAAAAATGATCATGAAACTTGACAAAACTATGACATATTTATACTCAAAAGACGCGTTTTGAAAAGATCTATCAATCTAACTTAAAAAAATTAAATTTTATTTCAAACTGAAATTTTTATGATTATTTTTCTTTTTTGACCTTGCTCGACATACGACTTTCAGAGTCAAAAAAGTGCTCTTTGCCAAGAGAACACTTGTTCATTTTATTGCATTAATTGATAGTATATCTAGAGAACTTTTTAAATGTGAAATAAAATTCCACTACCATGGGTATCCCTGAAGCACTACAGCGATGTTTGTCAAAAAATTGGTGTTTTTTTTATAAAAAAATTTTTTTTCACTATAAAAACTTTGTTAAAATTATACGACATGTATGCAAAAGTTATAGCTTTTGATGTAGTCTTTAATATAAAAAAGAAATTAGTAACTTTGGTTGTGCTTGTGAAGACCTACACAAACGAAAGTATGACGAACACGTGGTTTTTGAGAAAAATCAAGTTTTTCACAAAATTTTCCAAAGTTATTTGCAATTGTTTATATTTTAAAATAAAGTAACAATTTAAAGCTATTAACAAAAAAAATTTGAAGGAGATTCATCCATCCAGTATCTGGTGAGAGCATTTTCAATGTAACGTGAAAATGGTCGTCTGACCAACTTTGAAGTGCCATATCTCGGACATGCTGTCGACTTGGGCAAAGTTTTAAGGACGTAAATGTAGGGCAGAATAAGAACTATCATATAAGCTGTAGAAATAATTTTTGGAAAAATTTTCCATTTCTGGCCCATAGTGCTATGATAACAACCAGCTAAATAGGATAAGAATCGAAGATAAAGATAAAGAAGTCTGTTGATTGGGCAATTAATCCAGCTTAAATCAACGTCAATCTTATTTATCCAAAACTCATTATTTCATCGAACCAGATTAATTAAGAAGTTTTCATCAAAATCCTATAATTTCTATAACTATAACTTCTTATTCAAAAAAGTTCATTTCCATTTTAAACTAATCCAGATGTTAACAATCTTTAATAGTAAAATGTTCAACAACTTATTTATCCTCAATAAACTTTTTCCAACTACTACAAAGTAATGAAGAAATTATCCGAAAAAAATCATCAAACTTTAAGTTATCCTTCCATTAAAAAGTACACAAAATTTTTGAAAAATTATTCATCAAATGCACCTGTGAAACCTTAAAAGGGAACAAAAAAGTTTTACAAAAGGATAGTCGCATGGAATACAAAGAAGGATAGTTAAGATAGGATGTGGATTAAGTTGTATTAAATAAGGTCAAGTGTGAATTTATGTTCATCATATTTTGCATTCGAAAACTTTGTGTAAACTATAATCAACCAATTTTTTGTTTTTCGTTTGCAAATAAAACTCACATAATCTTTAGTTATAGCAGTATTTGAGGTGATGGAAGAAGGTTTGTAAACAGTTTGTCACTTATTATTTTGTTCGTAAAAGTTTTGATTAAGGATTAAGAGTAAGTTTAAGTTTTTTGAAAGTTGAATATTAAAAATTATAAGGAATGTTCAGAACAAATGGCCTGAACCGGGTGGATCGGAAGGTGGATCGGGATTTGTAATCTTGGTGGAACTCAATTTTAACATTTTAGATTAATTATGTGGATAATACTAAGATAATCTAAGGATAATCCACCTGCTAGGATAATCTGAAATGCTTAAAAAAAAGTTTAACGCAATAAAACAATTTGTGGATTATCCTCGGATTGAAAAAGTGAGTAATCCGATCGGTGGATTATCGACCTTAATGTAAAAGGTCAAAAACTTCATTAATAGAAACTTCTAATAGATTTTGACTAGCCCTAATGTTAAGTATTTGTAACTTGTCAAAATATTGATTGACTATGAATCAAATGTTTTTAATCTATAATATTGATCATTGCTGAACAATTTTAAACTGAAAACTAATAAAAATTAATTGTTTCCGCAATTTCAAATATTCGTAATGAAATCAATGTTCTTGATTAAAGATTATGAATGTTAATTAACCTTATAAGCACTAAATTTAAAATTTTGAATTTTATGTTAAAGAATTTTTGATTCAAATAATATTTAATTTCACAAATAACCTGAAAATATTATACAAAATTTACATAACCATAAATGCGATACATAGCAATAGTTTCATTGTTTTTGGAAAAAATAAGTTCACATCCGTACTCGCCTGTTTGTGCGACATTAGTTGGAACATTTTCAAGTGTAAATGATATTCCACGCATTGAATAGTTGCCCTAAATTAAAAAAATCATTTCCAGATCAGTTTTGTATCCAAAAAAAACTTAAAACAGTCAAAACTTACCGCAGGTATTGGACAATTATTGGCAATGTCTAAAGGAAAGTCGGAATTTGCAGCAAATTCAGGATAGACATAAGTGTCTGAGGCTAAACCTTCACACAGTGGAATTGCACTTACTTTGTATGGACTGTATCGATATTCGCCACCTGTTAAGAGAATTGACATCTTTAGATGATAATTCAAGATAATCCTGACTAGAAACTGTGCAATAGTGATTTTAAGGAGTGCGAGGTTATATCATGAATCTTATGCTCATAGACATTAAACCAAACAAAATCTACCTTGCTTTTTAAGCCCTAATCCCTCAACCGTAATGTCATTCCCAAATGGCTCATGAAGAATTGCATATCCAACAATTGATCGAGTCTTGTTGACTTTTCGAATTTGAATCTTCGTTTCCATAAGTTTTGATGTTTCCGATAGAGTTTCAATACGATCAAGAATTACTTCAAAATACTTTCTATCACCAATGGCACTTTTGTAATTCTAAGCATGCAGTATAAAATGGTAAATTATCTTGAGATTCTTACTAAAATTTTAATAAATTACCTTATAATCAAGATCAAAACAAATTATTTTGGAGATTGAGACAAAAAATACTAAAAAGGTTAATTTGTCCATTTTACTGGAACTAAATCTTTCAGCTTTTATTTTCAATCATTCGTGAAGAAATTTAAGAATTGTACTGAATAAATTTTAATTATTTGCTGACTATTTATTTCGGAAAACTTAATGATTAGATTATGCAACAATTAAGCTATAAAAATGTTGGATTATCGTGTCAAATCAACTAGTTTAGATTTGAGTTCAGATAAGCATTTTATACATGAGATCTTCGATTGGGATAGGTCTCGAGTGTTCAAAACCTAATTTATAAATTCCTTTAAAACCAAGATGATGTACACTAATGACGTCCAGGGGGAGGGGCAACTAGAAAAAAAATAATAGAAATTCTAGGAAATCGATTGTTCTATTTTGAAAAATGACCGTTGATTTTGGACGTCATAAGTGAACGGCTCCCAATTTTATTTTTTTTTAATTTACCAATATAAATTATTTTTTATATGAAGCACAAAGCAAAAATTCAAACTTTATTAACATAAGCAAAAACTCGATAAGTTCCAATAACTTTATCATCTTTAAAGTAAGAGATTTCTCCAGCATATTCACCAGATCCGAGTATAGATGTTGGTACTGCATCTAAATTAAATACAGCTCCAAAAAATGTGTAATTTTTCTACGAATATTTGAATTATTTATCAATATAAATTCCATAAAATTTCTATAAAACTTACAGGAGGAACTGGACAGTTTGCAGCAATATCTTGAGGAAAATCAGATTGTTTAAGCACATCTGGATAAACGTATTTGTCATTTATTATTATATCACAATACGCTGTTGGTGGAGATGAATAAGGCATGTATCGATATTCGCCACCTTAAGAACATCATAAGAAGTTATTAATAAAAATTAGGTTATTAATAACATAACCTCCTTACCTTGCTTCTTCATAAGCTTCAATCCGATCTTAAAATCATTTCCAATTGGAACTTTAAATGCCATCGAACCGACAAAAGATCGTGTTTTGTTGACTTTTTTAATTCGCACTTGCCACTCAATAATGCTAGGCGTCTCAAAAACATTCTCAACTCGATCCAGAATGATTTCGAAGAACTGCTGCTTTGGAACTGCCGAATTCTAAAAGATAAGTAATTTATCCAATTGATTAAACTTATAAGAATTTTTAAATAATTACAGCAATATCGTTAACAGCTGTGATTGTAGAAACAAATAAAAATAAAGGCACAAAAACTAATTGCATCATGTTGATCTGTTCGTTTTCGATACTTCCAAAGCAATAAGTTTTTCAGTATTATTAGGGAAAAAACTGACAGTTAATAAAGTAAAAATTTTAATTGCCTTTAATTTACATTAAAGCACTTAATGTGTATGCTTTTAGTTCTTAATTAAATCTGAAATGAGTCATTGTCGGTAAAATGAGATATTGGAACATGTCGTGAATTGATTAAGGTTTCCAGGTATCATCTAACATTTGAAAGGAAACTGCCAAAAATTAAATATAAATGAAAACTTTATTTGGCCAACTTTAAACTTAAATATTATTAATATAAGCATAAACTCGATAAGTTGCAATATGCTCATCAATTTTATAATAATAAAGCTCTGCAGCATACTCTCCAGAATCAGCAATTATTGTTGGAGCACTTTGTAGACCACATGTTGCTCCATAAAATGTATAATTGCCCTAAAAGTATCAATAAACCATGAAAAAATTTAAAATCTGAAAGCTACTCACTGGAGCCAGTGGACAATTATTAGCTATGTCTTCTGGAAAATCAGACTGCTTTGCTATGTCTGGATAACCAAATTTTTCTTTTTCCATGCTTGCGCAAAATGGCCCTGCTGGTAGCGAATAAGGCAAATAACGGTACTCACCACCTAAATGCAGAAGAACCTTAAAATTATTTAAAAAATAATATTTAATTAATTTACCTTGTTTCTTCAAAGTCTTAATTCCCAATTTAATATTATCTCCAATTGGCTCTAGAAACGTCAAGTAACCAACCAGCGAGCGAGTCTTATTTACTTTTTTGACATAAATATGCCATTCAATAATACTTGATACTTCAAAAATGACTTCAGTTCGATCAAAAATCACCTCAAAGTATTTTTTGGTTGGTGAAATTGTAAAAAATGATGGGAGGAACAAAATTAATATTAAGTTAAATTTGGACATTCTAATGAACAACTCAAATGTTTTTAAAGTGATGCAAAAAATGTAAATTAAAAGTTTAAATCATCATTGTTAGCAATCTAAAGCTTGTTAAAGTATTTATGTGCGATTTATACTAGCAGATAATAAATTTTTCAATTAAGTAATTTTAAATCTTAATGAGAACCAATTATGACTACCAATTTAATCTAATTTTGCTTTACTTTATGATTTGCATTAAAATTGTATCTCGCAAAATTCTTTTTGTGGCTGATCAAATGTCAATTATTTATTTCCAAAAAAGGTCTACACTTAAAGTTAAATTATAAACTATACACTATTAATATAACCATAAATTCGATAAGTTGCAATTTCTTTTCCATTTAATGTATATCCTATTTCACCAGCATATTCACCAGTTTGAAGCATTATAGTTGGTGCATTATCCAAATTCGTTTTAACTCCATGAAATGAATAATTTCCCTGCCAATGAATGCATTAAATACAGGATTCAAAAGACTTGATGTCATTACTTACAGCAGGAATTGGGCAATTGTTAGCTACATCTTCCGGAAGATCAGATTGTCTAGCAATTTCTGGATAAAGAAATGTATCTTCTGAAAAAACTTTACATAAAGGTCCAGGAAGCACATTGTAAGGCATGTATCGATATTCCCCACCTTATTAATCAAATAAATGAATAAAATATTGATTCGGTTCTAAAATGTATAGCTTACCTTGCTTTTTTAAGAGTCTAACTCCAATGTAGAATTTATTTCCCATAGTTTCATGAAATGTCAAGTGTCCAACAATCGAACGTGTCTTGTTGACTTTCTTAACTTGAATATGTAACTCGATAATGGTTTTAGTTTCGTAAACAATTTCAACACGGTCTAGAATGACCTCGAAAAACTTTTTGCTATTAATGTTAGGTCCCTAAAATAAGAAAAAAATAATTAGAATGTCTGTGTATACATCTTGTCTTACTTTATAATCAAAAGTGTTGACAGCAAAAATTAACGAAATTATAACTAAAAACTTGAACATTTTAAAGCTATATTTTGTCAGAATATTGAAATAAAAAACAACTTATCAATTTATACTCAATTGTACAGTATTTCAACAATTGTTTAATGCAGTTAGATGTCATTAACAACATTTGTCGACATAATCATAAAAGTTGCATTGCAATCTGACTGAAAAATGATCAATTAATTATATAAATCTTATCAGTTAACAAATCATTACACTTTTTATGGTGTGTAATCTGAAATCAGAATTATATATGAAATAGTAATTTTTATTTGAAATCGAATCTAGGCAGGTTAAAGTTTTTCTTGGTAAGCTTGACTGTTAATTTAGAGTAAATTTGATTCTTTGCCATCCATTTTATATAAAATTTAGAGGTTTAACATCATAATGGTTTTTAAGAAGCAATCTGGGTTAAGATAATGACTTGAAAGAAGTAAAAGTATATGAAGCCACATGGAGCCTCAAGCAAGTAGAGGTAAGGACGGGAATCTTCACGGATCCATGTTGACAATTTTTCTGTTTGTTTTTGAAGTTAACAATAAAATGCAAATTTGTTTAAAAACAGAATTTATTAATCAAACATTATTAATGTAAGGAAAAAATCGAAAAATGCACACTTTCTTTTTTCTTGTTCAATTTTTTAACTCTGATATTAAGTTTGACTATACTTTTATCTTCATACAAGATTTTGACACGATCAACATGAATTATTGGCTCTAAATTAAAGAAAATTTCCCATTTTCAACAGATTAGACTGAAAAGATTGAGGTTTTATTAAAAATTTACCTCAGAAGTAGCTAATAAAATCTTAAAAATTACAAAAATGTTGAAAATTTATATCATTTTGAAATAAGTTATGGAATGAAATTCAACATTTCAGTTCGAGAAACTTGAAATGGAAAATTTACAAAAAAGCATCACTTAAAATCCGATTTTGAAAACATTTTTATTTTAAACAGCAATTAAAATTCTAAAATTTTCACAGTTTTAATCAATGTCAATAAATTTTATGCAAACCATGAATTCCAAAGGAAAAACTTCAATTTAATTTTAGAATGTTTAATACTTAAACATTATTAATAAAAGCATATGCTCGATAAATTCCAACTTTTTTGTCATCTTTATAGTAAATGCATTCTGCTGAATATTCTCCAGATTGAGCAGCAACTAAAGGTGCGTTATCTAGATTTGTTGTTAATCCGTTTAATGAATAATTTCCCTAAAAGTTAAAAAAATTAAAATTCCTTTCAAACCTTTATTAAAACTCAACTTACTACTGGTAATGGACAATTATTCATAACATCCTCTGGAAAATCCGAGTTTCTTGCAATGTCTGGATAAAGATATTTATCATTTGCTAAAACATCACAAAATGGTCCTGGAAGAAGTTTATAAGGCAAATATCGGTATTCACCACCTTGCTTCTTTAAAGTTTGTATTTCAATTTTGATGTCATTTCCAAATGGAACATGATAAAACACAGAACCAACAATCGATCGAGTCTTATTCAATTTTTTAATACGAGCGTTAATTTCAACGATATTCTTATCTTCATATATAACTTCAATACGATCCAAAAGAACTTCAAAGAATTTTTGGCTCTAAAACAAAGAAAATATTGTAAGTTTAAGTTTAAAATTGGAATAAAAGATTCCAAATTTAGAGTTTCTAACCTCACAAGTAACTGCTAATAAAGTTATAATTACAACAACATTTAAAAGCTTCAACATTATGACAAAAAAAAATATCTTGAAAATAGATTCAACTTATACGAAGGTATTATTTCAAATAAAACAAAATATGAATTTTAAATGCTTATTAAAAGCAAGCTCATGATTCGTATAGAAGAATTAAAGATTTTAATTAGAACAACAATATAATTAGGAGTAAAACAAGCATCATTAGTCAGATAAAATTAATTACTTAAAGTTTTGCAGCAACAATGTGACTTTTAACAATTCATCAAGGCGTGAAAACTCAGGATTAGTCCTGAAAAATCCCAAAAATCCTAAAAAAATCCCTGAGCCAATAAACATGGAAATGTGAAATCCCTTTTAAATCACGAAGTTATTCATCAAATGCATCAGGGATTTAAAAGAGATTTCACATTTCCATGTTTATCGGCTCAGGGATTTTTTAGAATTTTTGGGATTTTTCAAGATTAATCCTGAGTTTCCACGCCTTGCAATTCGTAGATTTTTATTTAAACTATCAACAGTTTGAACTTTTTTACTCTTAAAAATACAAATTTTTTCCGCAAATAATTTCAAAATTATTCAAACTTTATTGATGTAAAAAAAAACTCGAAGTGATAAGATATTTTGACTATCTCTTTGAACGCATAATTCAGCGGCATATTCACCAGATTCAGCTGCAACTTGAACAATATTGTCTGAATTTACTGTATAACCATTTATTGAGTAATTACCCTGAATAAAAGGAAAAACTTAAGAAATAAAATCTTAGAAATAAATGTTAACTTACAAATAAAGAACAGTTATTATCAATTTCTTCAGGAAAGTCGGAACTTCTCGCAAAGTCTTTATAAAAATATTTATCTTTCATTATAAAGTTGCACAATGGGGATGGACGCACAATATAAGGTAAGTAACGATATTCACCACCTAGAATAAAATTCGATATATATTATAATATCAGCTTAATTAAGATTTGCACTTGAATTTGGCTATAAGTAAGGCAAATTCTGATTCCAAGCCACAATTTTAATGTTCAGCTGTCAAACGTTATTAAACGTGCAATCACTGAACCTCTGAAGTTACCTTGTTTCTTTAAAGTTTTAAGCTCTGCATCACAATCATTGCCAATAGCTTGTCTTATGTCAGCGTAACCAACAAGTGTTCGAGTTTTGTTTACTTTTTTGACTCGAAGATGTGTTTCAAAAAATTTTGGATCTTCATAAAGAACCTCAACTCGGTCTAGAATGACTTCAAAGAATTTTGTTTTTGGATTGAGCTTCTAAAATTAAAAAGTTCTTAGGAGTAAGTTTGATAATTAAGGATGTATAGTTACTGGAAATTCAAATGCCAAAACACAGGAGGAACATATAATGATGAAGATTTTTAACATTTTGTGTACGAAAACTTTACTTTAGTTCTGATTTAAGCATTTTTAAATTCACAATGTAATGACAATAGGAAATCGTTTAATTCAAGTAATGATCAATCAAATCCAATCTCTAAACTGATTAATAACATTTTAAGTATGGAAAAAAACTTAATTAGTCGTCAAAAATGTTTTACGCCAGAAATTATTAAATATGTCAATAAAAAGTGAAATCTTTATTTATCTTTATCACAAATTTAAACATTATTAATAAATCCATAAGCTCGATAGATTGCAGTGACGTTCCCATCTTTGTTAAAAATAACCTCAGCTGCATATTCACCTGAATGAGTGGCAACAGAAACAATTTTGTCTGTATTTATGGTAAAGTCATAAATTGAATAATTTCCCTGAAATTTAATAAATTAGAATAAAATTTAAAAGGTTTTTTTGCAAGTCAGAACTTACAACAGCCATTGGACACTTTGAAGTATCTTCCGGAAAATCTGAATGCTTTGCCATATCCGGATACAAGTAAATATCCTTTTTCATAAAATCACAAACAGGCGACGATGGTAAGACATAAGGCAAGTAACGATATTCACCACCTGTTGACGAAAAACTCAGTGGATTGCATAAAAGAAGCTTAAACTCATCACTTACCTTGCTTTTTCAGCAGCTTACACTGTGTTATAAAGTCATTTCCAATTGGAACTCTAACGTCGATCCAGCCGACAACAACTCTTTCTTTTTTGACTTTTCTGACTCGAACTTGAGTCTCTGAATATTCTGGAGTTTCGAAAACGACTTCAACACGATCTGGGATGACTTCCATGTACATTTTCTTGCCAGCAAAGCTTTTTCCCTGAGAAGATTCAAACAGCAAATAACAAGGAATTATTTTATGTTAAATAATTCTTAAGAATAGAACCAGCGTTAGACGACATAGATCATTAGTAATCTGTATCTAAAGGTGCAAAACTGATCAATCAAGCTTTTCGGCTCTCTTTGATCAGTTCTAAACTCTTGTAGGAAGAGCACAACTAGATGATGTTTAGAGCACGCGAAAAACAGAAATTGTTTTGCAAAATTGAACTTACAATGTTTTCCTCAGACTTAACATTATCAAGAACTGCAAATAAAATGAAAACAACTGTCCAACAAAACTTTGCGATGTTCCTAGTCATCTTTAATCGACTTTAATGTTCAACAAAACAAAAGTTTACAGTGACAAAAAACTAAAGAAAAAACAGTCAATTTATAGCAAAGCTCTTTAATTAGTTTGACATTCCAAATTGAATATCAGTCATCAAAGTCATCACATTATTAAGCTTATTAATGTAAGATGTTATCAGAACAATAGTCATAACATGAATAATTGAAAAGGAAGTTATAATTAGGTTGACTAGCTTTAGAAACAAACTTTGACTGCTGTTAAAACATTTGTAATGCCAAGCTTAAAATCCTCCTTGCCCCTTTTGGATTCCCTTTAAGTTTGGTGTGACTTTTCAGACACTTTGCAACAAAAGTGACACTTCCAGTCAACCAAAAAGATTTTATCATTTTAAAATGTAATATTTTTAAGAGTTGTTCAATTTATTTCATTTTTAATTTATAAATTAATATTTAAACATTATTAATATAGCCATAAGCTCGATAGATGGCTGTAACATTCCCATCTTTAGAGAAAATTACTTCAGCACAATATTCGCCGGATGTTGCAGCTGCAGATACGACTTTGTCTGTATTGACGTTAAAGTCAAAAATTGAATAATTTCCCTAGAATTTATGATTCTAAATTATTATAATGATTATTGATTAAGTGACAAATCCAAACTTACAACCACAATAGGACATTGTGAAGTATCTTCTGGAAAATCTGAATGTTTTGCCATATCCGGGTAAAGATAAATATCCTTTTTCATGAATTCACATACAGTCATAGCTGGTAAGACATAAGGCAAGTAACGATATTCACCACCTAAAATTTTAAAGTTAATAAAATAATGCACAGATTCATAACCTTGAATATATCATACCTTGCTTCTTCAACATCTTGCACTGAGTCTTAAAGTCATCTCCAATTGGCGTTCGAACGTCAATCCAACCCGAAACAACTCTTTCTTTTTTCACCTTTTTAACTTTAATTATTGATTCTGAAATTTCTGGATATTCATGCAGCACTTCAACACGATCAGGAATTATTTCGAGATATAATTTCTTGCCTGCAAAGCTTTTTCCCTAAAAAAAATGTTAAAATTTTATGGAAGTTAGAATCTTGGTGTTTGATAATCTAAAACTTGAGACGCTATTGTAAAGAATATATGCTGAATATTGATATTTTTGATTTTAGAGGACTTTAAACGCATGGGAACTAGGCGCATTGCACGGACTCAAGTGTGTCATTTAAACCTGATGATTCGTTTCATTTAAATGTTAATTTAATTAATGTCAAATTCTATAATAAAGTCGACAAAACTGTATATCCTTGGTATGTTAATAAACAATGAGCCCTTAACGAAGCATGATCTCGATATGGACTTGATCTTTCACTAGAGTTCGAATCTTGTTGACTTTAGAGCTCTGATACATTTGTTCAATTCTAGAGTAAGGAAATAGTGTAATCTTAACAGAAACAGACACTGGAGTATACCGAGACACACAACGTGTTACAGTTAAGCTCCTACTAATGTCGTTAATTGTTTATTTCAATTACCGTATTTTCATCAGCCATAACAGCAGCGATTGTCGCAATAAAAATAAAGAAACCCACAAATATATTTTTAATCATTCTGATATTGTTTCTCGTTCAACTGAATTAAATTTTACAATGAAGAATTGTTTAAAAGTTTTGGTCATTTTATAGCCAGTTGCTCAGTCAAAATCGATTTCTATCTTTAGACAATAGATTTATCAGATGGATTTATCAAAATATTTGTCACATTATAATTAGCTATATCAGAGATTAAGGCACTTTTTTGACACCAATATGGGGTATTTTTTATTTTGTATTGTTTAAATCAGTTCCATCAGTAATTAATAAAAAGAGCTTTTAATTTTTAATGACTAATCAATTTTTTGGATTTTAGGAAAATTTCACGTGTATTAAACGCATGCTTAATTTTTATTATTTCAAATAGAAACGTGCTTAATGTTATTGAAAATATTGAGTATTGGCATCAATAACAAAATCATGAGCGTAACCAGGGAGAATTTACTCTGTTTTGTCTCTATTGATCTCCCTTTAGCTGCATGGATGCAATACTGTAAATCAAGTCAAATTTGATGAGAATTGAATCCACGACTTCAAATAGAATTAATTCCGAATCACTAAGTTTGATACCCTTTGACTTGGCTTTTGAAGAACTTATTTCAATTTAGCCATTCGTCATTCTCATTCAAAAAGTTTCACTGCTCAAGTCTATCTTCTCTATACATACCCACAGATTGAAAGGCTCAAAATGTTCACAAATCAAAATAAATTCCAACAAAATTTAAATTTCAATAAATTAAGATTCAAATCACAGCTCGAAGTTGATTCGACTTCACTCCATAGAAAATTTCATCGACTTCGAGCTCGGGTTCAAATAATTTCAAACTTTATTAATAAATGCATAAAGTCGATAAGTAAAAACGTTGACATCATTTTTATAGAAAAATATTTCACCAGCATAATCTCCACTTTGAAGGATCATTTGAGCTGTGCTGTCCAATTCATAAGAGATTCCATAGATTGAATAATTACCCTTGAATAATTGAAATGTATTTTTTGACAAGTTAAACTTTTAAACTGCAATAGTTACCGGACTTAATGGACAATTAGCAGCAATGTCAATTGGAAAATCAGAATGATTTGCAAAATATTGATAAAAGTACGGATCTTTTTCGAAAAAGTCACAAATTGGAGAACGAGGAACAGAGTAAGGTAAGTAGCGATACTCGCCGCCTGCAAAAGATGATAATTTGTATTTCTAGGTAAGTAATAAGTTTCAAGATTCATTGACTCACCTTGCTTCTTTAAAACTTTATCCTCTGTTAAAAAGTTTTTTCCAAAAGGTTCATAAATCGAAATAAATCCAACTAATGCTCGAATTTTATTGACTTTTCGTACTCGAATGTCACAATCTGCGATTTCTGGTGATTCAGTCAATAGCTCGAAACGATCTAAAATCAATTTTAAAAACTTTTTGTTTGTGGAATTCGAATTCTGAAATTTTTAAGTAAGTTATTTTTTATTTAACTTATAATAAAGGAGTTACCATAAGATCCATTGAGAATACTTCTCATGCAAAGATCAAAACTAATAAATTTGAAAATTTATCCATAGTGTGACAATGCAGCATGAAGCTAGAACGTGAAATAAAATCAAAACTCATGAATCAATGCAATAATTATCTTTAAAATCTCTAAAATCAGCAATTTTAATAAATTAGCGCTAATTGATGTTGCAGTGAAAGGTTTGATCATCAATGACAGGAGAGCTTTAAGCCTTAACGTGACAGTTTACGCATTGATATTTTAAATAAAACTCTTTATTATCCATTAAGGAATCTTAACAAATGCATTAAGTAAACTAGACTTTATTAACAAAAGCATATATCCGATATGTTCCAGTAAGTCGTCCATTATTATCATAAAATATCGATTCAGCAGCATATTCACCAGAATGAACAGCAACCATTGGAATGTTATCAGTGTTAATAGCAATGCCATAAAGAGAATAATTTCCCTGTCAAAAATTGAGACCAAAATCATTGGTTTTAAGGTGCTACTCTTTCGTTTAGCCGAGTTCAATTTTTTGCACTTTTTCCTATCTTAACACCTTTTCCCAAAATAGTTGTTTTTTGTGTTTATTACTAACGACTAGTCTGTTATAAAAAACAATAACAACTTACAGCTAGTTGTGTAGTTAATTAAATTTTTTAAAATTTTTGAAAATTACAACAACAACATTACTCATTCGTTTAGCCGAGCTCTGAAAATTATTAAATTTTGATCAAATTAACAAGTTTACCTAATGTTTTTAGCTTCTAAGCTGTAACATAACATGCAATGATACCAAATTATACTTAATATCAGAATGAAAATGCTTAATTAAGCTACAATTTGATTTTCAAAATGGCGGTCAAGAAAAAATGCTTTTTGATGATTTTAGATAAAAAAGTACATTAATTTCTTGATTTATTTACTGTTTTATATTCCATTTTACATAAGCTTTCGATTAATATATAATTTGTTAACTTTTATGTAGATTAGAGGCAAACATTTAACGAAAAACCTATTGCACTTTGAAAATTTTTCCCGAGAATTTTAAGTTTAAATCAAAAATTTTGTTAAATATCAATATTATATGAATCAAATTTGTCTCTTCATCAAGTATTTTGATTAGTAAATCATTTACATTAAGTTAATTAAATATTAAATGAGGGATTTTTGAAAAATAAGTAAAAATGTATCGTGGTTGATCAAAAATTTTGTATGAAAAATTAATTTCACGAAAAATTCTTTTAAATCATTGAAATCTTTAATATATTAGTCTTAAACGATTTTATTATTGATATTTAGAACCATAAGGATCATATTTAATAAATTGTTTCACTTTAAATTAACTTTTAAAATTTTATTTTTTTTTCATACAAAATTTTTGATCAACCACGATACATTTTTACTTATTTTTCAAAAATCCCTCATTTAATATTTAATTAACTTAATGTAAATGATTTACTAATCAAAATACTTGATGAAGAGACAAATTTGATTCATATAATATTGATATTTAACAAAATTTTTGATTTAAACTTAAAATTCTCGGGAAAAATTTTCAAAGTGCAATAGGTTTTTCGTTAAATGTTTGCCTCTAATCTACATAAAAGTTAACAAATTATATATTAATCGAAAGCTTATGTAAAATGGAATATAAAACAGTAAATAAATCAAGAAATTAATGTACTTTTTTATCTAAAATCATCAAAAAGCATTTTTTCTTGACCGCCATTTTGAAAATCAAATTGTAGCTTAATTAAGCATTTTCATTCTGATATTAAGTATAATTTAGTATCATTGCATGTTATGTTACAGCTTAGAAGCTAAAAACATTAGGTAAACTTGTTAATTTGATCAAAATTTAATAATTTTCAGAGCTCGGCTAAACGAATGAGTAATGTTGTTGTTGTAATTTTCAAAAATTTTAAAAAATTTAATTAACTACACAACTAGCTGTAAGTTGTTATTGTTTTTTATAACAGACTAGTCGTTAGTAGTAAACACAAAAAACAACTATTTTGGGAAAAGGTGTTAAGATAGGAAAAAGTGCAAAAAATTGAACTCGGCTAAACGAAAGAGTAGCACCTTATGGGTTTTATTGAAAATTTATTTACTTACAGGTGAAAGTGGACAGCTAGCTTCTAGATCCTCAGGAAAGTCAGAATTGTTGGCAACATCTGGATAGAAATATTTATCTTTTGATAAGAACTCACAAAAAGGTAAAGGAGGCACTGAATATGGCATGTATCGATATTCACCGCCTGAAAATTAATGTTATAAATTCAATAATTGCAGGCAACATTCCTTTAACTTATCAAACCTTGCTTCCTTAACAATTTATATTCTGCTTTATTGTCGTTTCCCGTCGGAATTTTAAATTCCATATATCCAACAAGTGATCGTGTTTTATTTACTTTTCTTACATGAACATGCCATTCAGCGATTTCTGGTGTTTCCACTAAAACTTCTACACGATCCAGAATTATTTCGAAGAATTTCATTCCTTTCGAACTCGATTTTTGCAACTTTTATTCAATTAAAGTAAAATTAATTAAAATTTAAAAATATAAAATAAGAAATTTATTACCAAAACTTTGGTAGTCAAGACACTAATTAATAATAAAAAGTACAAAAGAAATTTCATTTTAATTTTATGATTATTTGCTCTTCTGTTTAACAGATCAAATCACAAATTATTTTAAAATTATGCATTCAATTGCAAACAATTTATAGCTCTCCTCAAGCCTCGTGTTTGTCATTAATAAAAATCAAGCAATTCATAAAACATAATAATTGAGATATTTTATTGCGCGTGTTTGTAATTCAAAATTTATCTGATGAAAGATGAAGCTTTTAATGTTTGATAGCAATAGTTAAGTTCCAATTCACTCCTGTTTAACATTTAGTTTCTTAATAGAGATGTTGATATTGTGAGAAGAATCAAAGTAGACAGGCTTTGATTGGCTGGACACGTTATTAAAAGACCTGTTGACGCTCGATTAAATTAGGTCTTCAAATCCGATTTTGTAGACGGAATGACGAAGAATTCATGGAACCAGGCAAGGGTTTGGAACTGAAGAATTACATTTTGATCATTTTTGATCATTTCATCAGTACCACACCCTTGGAACGAGGCTTTTGATCAAAGTTGCGATACAAATCTGTCAGGGATATTGTCTGTTAACAGGTAGGTAAGTGTTAAGTGCCTTGCTGGTCGAATAGGTAAGGCTCTTGGCTCAAATTTGGGATGGTAACTCGAAGGTCCTCGGTTCGAATCCAGCCATTTCCAAATTTGTTCTTTTTCAGAAGTTTAGATACTTCGACTGCTTAATGTACGAGATCAAGCCATAATTGGGCATTTTAGGCAACGTTGGATTAAGGAACGGATCAGGAACTTGAAGTGTAGCGGACCTTTACGGTTAGAACGGACCTGAAAAGTATCACGTCACGCCTACAGAAGATTGAAACGAGAGCCTTAGTTTATTTGAAACCTAGATTAGAAGATTAGAAGCTTGATTCTATGTATACCTGAAAAGTATCACGTCACGCCTACAGAAGATCGAAACGAGAGCCTTAGTTTATTTGAAACCTAGATTAGAAGATTAGAAGCTTGATTCTATGTCACCCATAGTGATATGAAGTGTATCACTAATCAATGTAAAAAGTAAAACATGTATAAATACTAATTCTTCCGGACCGTAACGTCGACAAATAAATAATAATAATAATAATAGGTAACTGTTGGAATATGCGATTCCATAAAATAGCCAGTCAACGATAAATCATGTGGTGCAAGGGAACAGTAAAAAAAGTGTAACTTATATATGGGATTTTAGCCATAAAGTCGTCTATCCCTCGATAACTCAGTAGTAGGAGCATGCGACCGAAAATCGTAGGACGTAGGTTCGAGTCCCGCACGGGATTCGCTATTCGGAGTTATAATTCTTTTTTTGATTTTGTCATAACAGGTGATTGCCTGAGACAGATCGCAACTCAGCTTTTTATAGAGACATTGTTACATTTGTAATCATCAATTGGCAGACTTGGCCAGTTTTAGGAGACGACTAAGGGATGTCATGGATCACAATTAATCTATCCGTGCGAAGTAAGTAAGTAAGTTTTAAATAGACGTAATTAATGAACAGTTCCTTGCTGGAGATTATTACACAATCAATAAGGTTTACTAAGAAATTCCTCAAAAACTTGTCAATTCAATTGATGTAGCAGTATTATTTTGTCCACAATCTTATTAGGATGACAAAAAGGTTGGCAATTTTAAACACAAAAATTTTTTAATCATCGAGCAACAAAAGTTTTTAATTAAATTTTAATTTTCCTTTGTCCACAATCGAAATAACGACGGAAAGACCTTCCAAAAAATAAAAAATAATTCATTTAAAAGCATTTGATTAATTTTCTTTCTATGCCTTCCTTCTTTTTCTTCGTCTCATTATATCATCCTTAATTTTTTTGCTTCAGTTATCAAATAATTATCTGATGAGAGCACGAAAACAACTTTAGGATTTACTTTTTTGTTGTTTATATTTTTACGCATCGACTAGCATGGGCAATTTTATGAGGGTTAGGAATGAACAAGAAGAGTGACACTAGATGATGGATAAGAAGAAAAATTCAAATTAATCATTTTTTCGCCGATAAATATGCCACCCTTAGGCCGAAAGAATTAAGACATTCCTAATTTAATTCTCAAAAATCTCTCGAAATCTTGAACATCGTCAAAAAAATTATTTCAGTTTGAGAGCACAGAGGAGATAATTAGTAGGGAATGTTGTCGTATGAAGGTATATCCCGAGCGGCGCAATTTGACGATGATGATCAAATGATCGTCATATGAGCGTCATCGTCTGACGATGACGATTGTATGACGATTTTTTTTTTTCTAAAATATTATAACGATCATATGACGATCATATGACGATCATATGAAAGTCATGAATGACGATGACGTGAAAATTTTGTGATGGTGTCATTTGATTGTCATTTGATAATCATATGATGACAATTATTTCATATTCTTATATGAACGGCACATTTCTTTTTTATGAGAAAGTAAATGCAGTTTGAACAAAAATAATGTTTAGTACTCACTTACAACACTTGGTAGGCTTAAAGGAAGTACTGGAAGTGCTTAGTTTCGCAAATTTATCATCCTTATAAAATATCCAGAACCATCAAAAATTTAATCTATTTTTGACTAGATAACATCCTAGAACAGTGAATTCCAAACTATGTGTGACACACTGGTGTCGTGAAAAAAAAGGTCGTGAAACTCAATTTTAAGCAGTTTTTGCAATAAATTAAACCAAAAATTTTTTGGTGTGTCGCGAAATTAATTTGACTCAAAAGTGCGTCGCCGACCAAAAAAGTTTGGAATACACTGTACTAGAAGATAGTTCAAGTCTTTTTTAAACATTATTTACTTCTTCGCAATTTAAGGACATACATTTATTTTACTTTTGTAATAGTTGCATTAAAATTCTCTTCTATAAGCAAAAATCAACTTTTTATTGGAACGAATATTAACATGTCATTATAATGAATAAGCATCATTTTAAACTTAATTTCGCTGAACCTGACTTTAAAATTTAAAGATTCATAGTTGTTTTCACATTGAAAAATTGATAATTTTGAAGACTTGATTGGTTTCTCGTAAAAATCGCCTTGAATGATAAAAGAATTGCAAAACAAAATAGGCTCTTCATCGTCTTCTTTAATTATCTTTAAAATTTCGCAGATTTTTCCATCATTCAGGAGACAAAATCGGTCCCGTATTCCAATCGTTGAAAATTTTTTACCATCCCACGAGAAACTTTCGAAGCTTTTGTCGTTCAGTTTCTTAATAAACTTAAATTTTTTTTCTAAGGACTTCTTCCTATCATCTGCTTCCATTGAGCGTATTCCTTCAGAAATGCGTCGATGAATTTGTTGTAATACATTATTAGGTGACTGGATATGCTTTTTCACGGCTGTTAAGTAGCATTCAAATGCGAAAGTAGAGAAACTATCCAATGGCATACCTTTTGAATTAATATAATAACAAAAAAGTATATAAGATTGCTTAATAATTAAAATTGAAGTTATTGCTAATAATACCTTGATATTGTACTGCATCAGCTAAATGACTTATTGTATGTACGATTAAAGTCTGCATAACTGGTCCATATAGGTCCATTGCTTTCTCAACGAACTTGTGCAATACGAGTTTTGCTACCTCAGAATAATTTGTTGCTAAATCCTCATCACACAGTATAGTGATTCCAATGTGAAAATAAAGGAAGTTTAAGTAATACTCGTTTGGGATTACACCTTTCAATGCAACTATTCCAACTTTTAATAAGAAGAAACGAAGTTCATGACCATGGTATTGCTTTAATTCTGAGATGGGTCGTAAATGCCTGTGGAACTCAGATGGCACATATTTGTCCATATCCAATAACTTTGATGTCAGTTCACGACCTGCACTAAATGGTAAAAACGATTTTGGTGGAATGAACAGATAAGTCAAAATTTTCTTTAATCCACCTAACAGCACGACATGTAGATAGTCAGGCGGGAAATTATTAATCATATCTAGCTCTCTGAAAGAACTTTCAAATATTGAACTACCATTATGATGTCCAATATCTGCTCTCGCTCTAAAGCTCTCATCAGTTCTTCTTGTGCAGTCTAATTCAGTGAACGTTATTCTTCCATCTTCCCTATGCCCTTCAACACAACATTCACAGCAAGAGGAATAACCTGTTGGGTATTTCACATACTTTACAGCAGCTTTTGCGGGAGAATCCAAAATGACATTTCTGATTTCTATTTCATATTCCTTTCCTTCAATATATAACTTCCTTTCGCTCATTTCTTTGAATGTCTCAACAAAATCAGACAATAGTAAATTGAAATCTTTTGGATGGCTTCGTCCATTGTATAAGCCGATGACGAATATTTTATCCAGTACTCTTCCTAATACGACCCAGAAATTTCTTTTAATGGCGTCAGTTTGAAAACAAATGCCATCAATAAAGATGTCGAATTTAATACTGCAATTATCAGGAGCTAAACTCTCTGTTAGAATTGATCGCACGCGTTCTTGCCAATCGAAATTTACATATAACCCTGGGTCGACTACTTTCGTTATTGTATGCCTTGGAGTGCTCATAACAGATCTGTAGTCTGACTTCATTAAAGGAAAATTTTGTTTCAGATCTTTAAGGACACTGGAAACACCCGTCCTTTTGAAATTGAACTTGACCGCATTTCTGTATATAACTTCTTCAATAAATGTAGTAACATTTGGATCACAGCATTTCTCAACTTGTTGTTCTGGTTTACTAATTGATGATTTTAGCATAATATCAGCATTACATTCAGGCAGCTCATCGCTTGATTGAGGTAATATGTTGTCTAATAAGTTCATTGAGTTGTTTAATAATGACTCATCGATTTGCAATAGATGATCAACGCTAAAGATGATCCAAAAAAGAAGCAATTAGTGAAATGTGAAAATTTATAGCAATCTACAAAGGACGTGGCTTGATTAAATGAAATTTTTGACCATAATTCAAAACTTTGAATTGAAATTAAATAACCGTAAATGTTGAAGGAATGTTAAAGAAACCTTCATGCATGGCCGAAAAATCATTTTTAAACCAGTGTGATTTTACTAAAATTACCTAAACTGTGTTTGATTCCTTTTAGTCGCCCTCCTGTTCCTATTTTTAATTCCTCCGTTCATCTTCCATTTTTTGTGCCTCAAACTACTACTTTTCAACTCCCAAAGAAGCTTTGGATTTCGTCCCATGTTGTTAAATTTCTTTTTTTTCTGCTTAATTTTTACTTCAATAATTTTCTTTATTTTCTTTAAATTTTTAACTGTACAAAATTTCAATGATTGCTGAGACCAATTTTTTATTCAATACTTCAAACATTTTTCTTTTAAACATTTAAATCTCAGTTACCTTCGATTTTCTAGAAATTTTTTTCCTCAATTGCAATTGAGAATTTGAAAAAGACAGAAGTTTATTTATAAAGTGTATTAATTGTGAAAAAATTTGAAGGCATCAGCATCACACCAGTTCAAACATAATGGTTTGTAAATCCAAATAATTATTGCTTTACTTTCTCATTGGCTTTTTAATAGAATTAATTTTGAAAGAATTTTCCTACATTCATGAAAATCTTAATTGTTTCGTTAACGCACCAGTTTTCTGTGGTACTAGACTCAAAGAATGGATTGTTCATAGTTCCAAGTTCTTGGATTTTCGATGAAGACGGTGATGTGTTTACACAATATCCCCCAAAGAACGCCATCAATAAACAAAAGCTTGTCCAGGATATGAAGGAACCTGCTGAAGATTGGATAGTAGTGAAAGTGGAGATTCTTAAACCCAATATTGGTAATAAAAATTTAAATACTTAATCGTGCTAGATTAAAATTTATTGTGTAAATTTTTTTTTTACCAGGTGATTATCAATCTGCATTGAAATCAATGAAAGTTCGTGAACGTTTCAACGATACAGCATCAGAAGTTGAAAAGGCAAAACATAAAAGAATTTCTAAGAAGCGCAAGACATCAAGTAGTGAAGAAGATTTAAATGGATTGTTTAATACAATAAACCAGAAACAAACGGCAAATAAGAAATCTAGATTGCAAAAGGTCACCGCATTGAATACAAATTCACAAACAACAACAGTAAAAACTTCTAGTGCTTCGATTATGAGAAAGGACACGCAAAGGAAAATTAAGCAGAGTTCAAGTTTGTCGCTGAAAACGATTCCTGTGTCACAAAATACCTCAAACCTGAAGAGCTCATCACAATTGACTCGGTTAATGAGTAAGAAATCACAAGTAGTTGCTAGTGTTTCGAATACAAGTGAAATTGGTGACAGCGATTTAGATGAGGAAAATGAGAAGTCACTGAAAAATACAGTAATTACGCCAGAACTGTTGAATGATAGCAATATGTCTTCACCAGTACAGTTTCGCGAGCATTTTTTTGGGAACAGCAATTTTAATGAGTTTTCCAATGAGTTATCATCAACACGTGTTAATCAAGAACAGTATGGGATTGAAAGCCGTTTGCAGAAACTAGAAGATAAAATGGAAATTTTGCTTTCAAATCAGGAATTAATTTTTTCTAACCAGAAATCCATAATGGAGCATTTGGAAGCACTTGGAAGCTCAATTGGAGGGAATCGAGACCGTTCGTCATCAAATAATTCAAGTGTTGATATTTCAAGCATTGCTCCTATAAAAGATCGTGATAGCTTCTTGAGTGTGGAGAAAATGCTGGCAGCACATCGTAAGCAACCTACTGCTGATAAAGATTTTTCAAAGAAAAGGTCCGCAATGGTCAACTATTATAAAAGCCATATTCGTCCAATCGGAAGTGCTGCTCCAAAGAACAGTTTAATGCTTTCTTTGTTAGAGATGTATTTTGAAAGTAATTTCATTGATAATTTGTGTTGGACAGACACTGTAGGTAAGTTTTGACATTTAGGAAAATTTGTTTTTTCATAAATCTAATAAAATTTTCTATCTTTCTAGGATGTGTGTGTTTTAATAAATGTGAAGGCCATTTTGATTTATTCTTTGACATCATAGAAGCTCATACACCTGGCACGTATAGTTCATTAGGTTACTCGTCAACTGCTGTTAAAATATACTTGCATAGACGTCGTGAAAAACAAGCGAAAAAAGCAAAAGAAATTAATCGTCAGTCCCAACCAAACATTGAATATGAAGATAATGATTAATCAAAAATATCACAAAAAGTTGTTTTAGCTGAAATAATATACAACTCCCTCCATCACAATCGTAAGATGTTCAGTTTATCCATTTAATTAACCTTTAATTTTCATTCCTTACATTGTTAAAAAGATTATGTTTTACTATGACAAATATAAAAATTATAAAAATAAAATCACTCAATTCTATTTATTTAAGATATTTTATTTTTCAGCCCATATCAAGCATATTTCATGATTTTTTATCGTCACTGAACTGTTAACGTGCCGTCGTTATTCCGTCATAATCTCGTCAAAAGACCATCATGCGGTCGTCATATGACGTTATCGTATGATCGTCGAATGACGATTTTTTTGTCAAATGACGGTCATATGGCGTTGTAAATACAATCAAAACGACGTCGCGATGACGTCTTATCGTCATATGACGATCATATGATCGTCATTCATGACGTCTTTGTGACCATGACGATCGTCATATGACCGTCATATGATCGTCATATGACGCTTGTGCGCCGCTCGGGTATGACTGAAGCGCTGTTTATGTTAAACTCGAACTTGGTCAGGTCTGATCATGCAATCAGAAATTTTAAGAACGCGGTTTTGAATCCAGCTCAGAACGAAGTTCCTAAAAATCTAAAGTTCCTTAAACATCAAAATCAAATCTTAACAAAACATAAATCTGGAAAAGTTGTATCTCAACCAGACTGACTTAAAATATGCCAACAATATCACCATCAAAAGTTGTTCAGAAATTTCAGTGAACTTTTCCTTTCATCGTTCTTATTTTCTTGCCTTATCGACCATTGAGAAGAAACAAAATTGTGATTGAAAGAAAATCAATTAAACGAGGAAATATTGATGAAAATTAATTAAATTAATTAAGCAGCCTTTTTAAGGAATAAGCATTAGTTTAGGATGTTGGGTTTTGTAAATCTATCTTTGGGCCCGAATCAGTCGGTTCATAAAATGTTTTTCTTGAAATTATTCAACTATTTAAATTAAGATCATACAAAAAGTTATAGTTTATTTAATACTCAAAACTTAAATTTAATTTAAAATCAATCAGGATATAATTTGTTTATCGAGCATCAAACACAACCAAACGCTTTGTTCGCTTCTTGTACATGATACGATGACCACATTCTCTGCATCTAATTGGATCTCTGGATTTCATTTCATTCTCGTTGTGACATTCTAGAAGAAATTTTTCATTTTAATAAAATTTAATAAGTTTAAAACTTTTGATGCAACTTACCTGAGCAGACATAAACCATTGTGGTTTTAGTTGCTGATTCTTTGCTACTTGGATTGTCAGACATTTTAAAAATAGTTTAAAATAATTATGTTTTATATTTTCTATATTTTGTTTTGAAAATGTTCAAGACTTTTTTTATTCAGCCGTCTTCACATTTTATATTCTGTTTTCAAAGATAAAATCTTGATATTATTTTTGCCTTTGTTAAATGTATTAAATTAAATTAATGTTAAGTAAGTACAGCTTCCAAGAATAATTAGAAGAGTTTCTTTTGTTTTTGTTTTTCAGGAAGTGCTTAAACTCGATGCGTAAATGGAAGAAAACAATACTTTTTTAAAAAAAACTTCTTGTAGAGTAACGACTTTCAATTTAAAAATGTTGCTCAAAGGGTATTTTAATATGAAAATATTACATTCGAGAATATTCATTTGATACCATTTGTAAAACTTGAAATTTTAAAAAAATTAAATTAATCATATTTAAAAGCATAATTAATTGTGAATTACATGATCAATCAGTTACATTGCTTATGTTAATTAACGCTTGATCTTGTTAAAGTGATAAAATAAATAAATAATAAGCAAATTAACAGAAATAAATTTTTTTATTGCTTTGTGTCATAAAATATTTTTAAAGTAAGGAATCAAGATTAAAATTTAGGTAAATCATGAGCTGTGTAATGAAAATTGTACATATATTCAATGCAATCCGTACGCACATAAAAAAGAAGCCCATATTTTGGGCTATAATTGCAATTCTTGTGATTATAACCACGGCACTTGCCATACTAATATGGCATTTACTTAATACTAATAATGATTTTAAAAATGTTCATGACGACACCCTGGAGGAAACTGCCAATTCAAATATTTCTGATTGCGCACGGCTTTTGTATAGGTTTAAAAATGGTACTCAAATTTATGGATGCACTGCATATCCTTCTAGCAGTAAGTTAAAATGATTGTTTTCAATCTCAATAGATTAATGTAATGCTTACTCATACAATACATAACTTTTTATTTGCAGCCAATGCATTTGTAACAGCAGGTCATTGCCTGGATTTATCTCAACAACCCAATGTTACTTTGTAAGTATTCGAATGTCTATAAATTATAATGCTTTTGATTAATAAATTTCAATAATTCTCGTATCATCTAACTAGAGTTGCAGTGCATATACTAACATCTCGTGGATTGATAAAAATTCCAGCGAGTAACATCAAATTTTTTTTGCATAATAAAATAAATTTGGATAAACGTGAAAACGATTTGGGCAAATTTGAAATTACAGCAGACAACTTTGCAGCTGATATTCATCCATATAACCTAATTACTTCAGAAATTGATTTACCAGAAGTGGTTAAAATAGAATTATGGAAAAGTGATGAACCTGGCGATTTCAGGATAGAAATCTTTAAAGTTAAAACGCTTAATATGAAAATATGTAGATCCAGATTTGAAGGAGCACCTTCTGTACAGAAAGCTATTGACAGAGCTGAAAGGGGTGAAATTCTGCCATTCATGTGCTTAGGTAACATATTTAATAATTATTTCCAACTTTTATAGTGATTTTTATTTTTTATTTTTAGACATTGAGATAAAGCAAGGTAATAGTGGAGGACCAATAAAAACATCTCTTGGAGTCTTATCAACAAATTCTCTTGGTGGAAGTAACGGTACAAATCACCCAACGTTGTGTGTAAAACATCCAAGTAACTATCAAGATGACAACATCTGGACTGAAATTCATTTAAATTAAGAATCCCAGCAGTTGAACAAAGCAGAAAATTGAAAAACAACAACGATTTTCTTAGATAATAGATTGCTTTTAAAGATTTCCTTATCATTATTTTATCTATGCCTGAATATTTTATTTATAATTTGAGTTTTTGAGGCTCATAGACAAAAAAACCAAAGAAAGCTCATTGGAAAGTTTATTTAAACTTAATGCATTTAATTCATCATTGTTTAAGAATTAAAAATAATGTTAAATGTACCAAATCTGGTGTAATGCAAGTAAGTTTAAATATGAAAATTGATTAGCATTTAATAAGAATAATATGTTATGAAGATTGTTTAAAAATTGTTAAAAAAATTTAATAATGTAACATTACAATACTTTATTTCAACGAATTTTTAAAAAATTCAAATTAATTTTGTAAAAGCGACTTAAAATTTTAATTGAATTTTTAATAACGTTTTTTAAGATTTCAAAAAAAGCTCCCAAAGCTTTTTTCAAAAGCTGAAAAACACAAACATTTAAAACATATGGAGAATATAAGAATGAAGTTATGATAATTTTGAAAATTCCTGTCCTATTTGGGACAACTTTTAAGTATTGAGAGCTTTAAAAACCTTCCAAAGTTTATTAATTTTAAAAACTAAAGTTAAGAGAACTGTTAACAATAGTTTAATGTTACGGACAATAATAGTTTAAATAATTATGAATATTTATTTTAATACTCTTCATTGGAATTTAGCAGAGCTTGCAGGGGCGTAGCCAGGGGGGGCCATAGAGGGCCCGGGCCCCCCCTACGAAAATCTGATAATATTTTTATTAAGTATTTATAGAGAAGAACCAGTTAATGTAGAGGAAGTGATGAAAGAAATTTCAAAATCACCACGAAAAATTAAATTTAATGTATGAACAATGAATTAAATATTTAAACTTATGAAGAATGAATATAGATTTAAGGATACAAAATAACGTTTTTTTTTAATTTTCGAAAATGCCCCCCCCCCCCCTTTAAAAATTTTCTGCCTACGCCCCTGAGAGCTTGTTGTTGAAAACTTAAAACTAACACACAAAAGAAACTCCTTTTTGAAAAACAATAAGTGGGTAAAGGAAAATGATTTTTTGACTAAACCAGTGTTGTCCAAACTGTGTGCCGCGGCACACTGGTGAACCGTAGAGATTTTTTGGAAATGACGCGAGCCATATGCTATGTGTGACTTTGGTCATGGCTTCCCCCTAAAGTGTGCCGTGGTTCAAAAAAGTTTGGACACCACAGGTCAAAAATGTTACACACTGGTTAAAATTTTAGACTATTTCTCTCTAGCATATAAAAAGTAAACTTACTCTCTTAAATCTGAAATCAACAAACTTATTTTACCAAATCTTTTAATTTTCTGATGCTCAAAATTTTTATCGTGGCTTACGAATTGAAAATTTTACTGCATTGAATCTAAATTAAAATCAAATTCCATTCAAACTTACTACTTCTTATTACAATAACTTGCAAAGCATTCAAAAAATCCTGAAATAAAAGAAAAAAAGCAAAATAATTTTTTTCTCTTCACAAATTTTCTTCATTTATTCAAAATTCAGCTAAATAACGATGTAAGATGCTAATGAATATCACAGTTGACTTGACGTCAGTCATTAACTTCGGTAAGCTAGCTTTATGACGTTTTAAAAAGTTCACTCATACAGCTAGATAACCAAAGACAACTCTAACGTTTACTCTCGATCGACTCCTTCCATTGTGGATGACATAATGTCTACTGAGCACTTTCTGTCAGCAGCTGATACCGATGACTTTTTTTTACTGCAAAAGGAAAATAGAGACACACATTTTGATAAAAACTTAAGTCTTATCACCTAAAAATATCGTATGTTTCCAATTTTAGGTAATTTCCAAAAGTAAAAGGTACTTCCTTTTAGAAATTTAATGTTATCGCAAATGAATACATGAGGGAAAAAATATTATATTTTTTGTTGTCGCTTTATGTCCAAAACAATTTTTCATTATCTATTTTTTGATAAGAAACTACACAAAGCATTTTTTTTTTCCTCTTATCAAAATTTGTATTGGAATCGTGATTTATTTTTGTCATTTGGAAGTTGAATCGTCACCAATATATTTTACTTCTTTATGTATACGACAATAGAATTTCAATTGATTTAGTGAAAGGAATTAGTTTAAAATGTGCCGACTATTTAAGGTTTTTTGAGTGGACTGGGAGCTATATAGAGGGTTATAAAAGGGATTTTTATGACTGAGGATGTGAGTATTCTTATCTTTGGTGTTCCTTGTTATGGATTTAAGGTCTTCAATCACTGATGGCACCTACTTGAACATCCAGTGAGAGTTTACTTAAACTACAAGTTCACAGACCTGCATTTAAATCAATTGACACAAACCTAGTAGGACTAGGCTCATCTGAAGTCAACCTCTTCGATAGATTCCAGAATACAGCATGTCAACTAAGCTAAGATCAAGCTCAAACTACCCTCAATTCTACTAAAGTGAATAACACCTTCTTAGGTCTGGTGTAGTCAAACTTTAGCACCAAACCTAAATGAGCTGTACCATGTAAGCACCTAATTGCAGGATTTGCTAATTATTTTAGTCTCAATTATTTTTAGAACCTAATCAAGCATCCAAAAGAATAAGAAATGCTCATGAAAGGCTCTTAAAACACCAAAGCTTAAAGTCAACTCCAAATTGTCTACAGAGCATAACTTAAAGACAACCCAAACAGAACCTTTTTCGCGGCAATCACCAAAAATAAAATTTCACAACATTAAACAAACTTAAAAAGTCAATTTTAACGCTGATAAATTAAACATGCAATTGTAATACACACGAAAAAAACTGAATTGGGGTCAATAAATTGTGGGCCATGATTTTCTGTTCAACTTTAATGAATTCAGAAAGCAAAAAAAAAATGTGGGTTGACAGAAAGTTAACTGTTTTATATGCTGAATGATTAATGGTCTTACCTGAGTTATGTCATGTGAGTCGACACATCAAGAAATTGATGAAGGTGAAAAAAAATTTAATTTTATGCTGAATAAAATGTAAACAATTAAATTTGTTTACAGGAACAAAATGTTGTGTATCGTCTGTTGTTATCTGCTTGCGAATGACTTTTTGAGTACTTTATGGAGATTCTTTTTGTCATCGTGATGAAAGTCAGCATTCAGATTGGAATTTAAAATGTGAGAATGTTACGTGAGGGAAGAAGCAGATGAGTTTTGTGCAGTTTTTCAGGTTGCAATGGAATTTTCCACTGAGGTTGATGCTGATTCTTGTGATTTTTGAGGAATTCTTTAAAAAGTCTTAATTTGAGTGGTTTTAAAATAAGAATTTTGGATGTTTAAGCTTAAATTTTTTAAGAATTTTGAGCATTTTTTTGACAAATTGCAAAGTTTCAACTCAAATTCTTCACAAAACTTTAATATCAACCTTAGCAAAACATTAAACATGTGCAACTCTTATCACCTCATACACACCGCAACAGACATTTCTTTGTTCTTCTAAGGCTTCCGGATGAAGCAGCAAAATATTTAAATATGAAATGCGAGAAATGCAAAATAAAATCGAATGAAAAGCTTCACAGTTGCATCACCAAATGACAATGAGATGCGCTTGTGCGATGCAAATTAAAAGTATTTTTTTTTCTCCGTACCAGAAAAACTGCACGTTCGAGTCTCAAACTATTTTAGAAACGTGATTTATTGTTGAAATAAATCCACTAATGCCAAAACTAAGCTTCTTTACGGTTTAGGATGATGTAAATTACCAAAAATAATGCTCAATTGAAGATTAAAGATTTCCTGCTTTTTTTACGAAACATCGATACCTAAATTTTATGCTTAATTTATTTGTGAATATACTTAAAATAAATTTTAGTTGCGTCAGATGTTTTTTTTATGAACAGAAAACTATTGAGTCAGAAAACACGTGTTGTAGACGGATCTCGTCAAAAAAAACTACCGAAAATAATTTCAATTTGTGTTCATTGCTCTATGGATTTAAAGTGTTAATGACTTAATATAAGCTCATTGCAAACTCTTCAAATGTGTCAATTCCTTCCCATGCCTATAAAGTTTTATGATTTCATTGATTTTCAATGGAACAAGACCGAACCGAACCGACAAGTTAACATATTTTCTTCACATTTAATTAAACAGTCAAATGAACTCAAAAATTCAGAGAATGAGAATTTCCCAGATCGTCTTCGGAAATAGTAACGTTGAGGAATTACCTTGAAATATATGTGTATATAGATGAGCCACAAAACAATGAATGGAATTCATGATGAATAAAAAAAAATTATTACACGAAAATCAAGATCCATAGCAATGCTTTGGACAACCCGGTCTTTTTTTTCGTCTGTTTGTTCGTCGCGCGCATTGAATCAGAAATATGAAGACGAACAAAGACTGGAAAAAAGAGTCTTCTTGGTCAGTCGATGAAACGCTTTTTCCATTCATTTAATTTTCGTTTTCCTTTCTAAGAATAGTCAGAGTTTTCTAGCTTTATTTTGGAGGTTATGTGGCTCATTTTGACTGACTGGATGTTTATGGGTTAAGAGTTATTTACTGGATGTTGTAAATTCTTATGAAATGTGAGATTTTGTGGTTAAGTTGAGTTTCAAATAATTGATACTTTTGGTTTAAGGAGTGTTGAACGCTTAGATAGATGCTCAAAAAATTAGATTCTAATCTTAAATGACTTTAATTAATTTGCAATTTATTTGAATTCAAAATTTAAAACTTATTAAGAATTAAACTTTGAAAACATAAAAAAACTGAAGAAAACAAATTCAGATTTTAAAATTAAAATAATTTTTAATAAAACATTAAAATAAATTCAAATTTTAAAAAGCCGGTAAAAATTCAAATTTTAAAGAATCCTCAAAATTTGAAACCTTTGATGCCTTTAAATTTTGATATCATCAATTTTACTTTTTTAAAAATCAGATTAAATTCAAATTGAATTTAGAAACCTTTAAAAAATTCAAATTTCCAAAAAAGAAATCTTAACCTTAAA